CCTCCACTCCCCCCAGTCCCTCCACTGTCCTCAGTCCCTCCACTGTCCTCAGTCCCTCCACTCCCCTCAGTCCCTCCACTCCCCCCAGTCCCTCCACTGTCCTCAGTCCCTCCACTGTCCTCAGTCCCTCCACTCCCCCCAGTCCCTCCACTGTCCTCAGTCCCTCCACTCCCCCCAGTCCCTCCACTCCCCCCAGTCCCTCCACTGTCCTCAGTCCCTCCACTGTCCTCAGTCCCTCCACTCCCCCCAGTCCCTCCACTGTCCTCAGTCCCTCCACTCCCCTCAGTCCCTCCACTCCCCTGAGTCCCTCCACTGTCCTCAGTCCCTCCACTGTCCTCAGTCCCTCCACTGCCCCCAGTCCCTCCACTCCCCTCAGTCCCTCCACTGTCCTCAGTCCCTCCACTCCCCTCAGTCCCTCCACTGTCCTCAGTCCCTCCACTCCCCCCAGTCCCTCCACTGTCCTCAGTCCCTCCACTCCCCACAGTCCCTCCACTGTCCTCAGTCCCTCCACTGTCCTCAGTCCCTCCAATGTCCTCAGTCCCTCCACTCCCCTCAGTCCCTCCACTGTCCTCAGTCCCTCCACTCCCCTCAGTCCCTCCACTCCCCTCAGTCCCTCCACTGTCCTCAGTCCCTCCACTCCCCTCAGTCCCTCCACTGTCCTCAGTCCCTCCACTCCCCCCAGTCCCTCCACTGTCCTCAGTCCCTCCACTCCCCTCAGTCCCTCCACTCCCCTCAGTCCCTCCACTGTCCTCAGTCCCTCCACTCCCCTCAGTCCCTCCACTCCCCTGAGTCCCTCCACTGTCCTCAGTCCCTCCACTCCCCTCAGTCCCTCCACTGTCCTCAGTCCCTCCACTCCCCCCAGTCCCTCCACTGTCCTCAGTCCCTCCACTGTCCTCAGTCCCTCCACTCCCCTCAGTCCCTCCACTGTCCTCAGTCCCTCCACTCCCCTCAGTCCCTCCACTCCCCTGAGTCCCTCCACTGTCCTCAGTCCCTCCACTCCCCCCAGTCCCTCCACTGTCCTCAGTCACTCCACTCCCCTCAGTCCCTCCACTCCCCCCAGTCCCTCCACTGTCCTCAGTCCCTCCACTGTCCTCAGTCCCTCCACTGTCCTCAGTCCCTCCACTCCCCTCAGTCCCTCCACTCCCCCCAGTCCCTCCACTGTCCTCAGTCCCTCCACTGTCCTCAGTCCCTCCACTCCCCCCAGTCCCTCCACTGTCCTCAGTCCCTCTACTCCCCCCAGTCCCTCCACTCCCCTCAGTCCCTCCACTGTCCTCAGTCCCTCCACTGTCCTCAGTCCCTACACTCCCCCCAGTCCCTCCACTGTCCTCAGTCCCTCCACTCCCCCCAGTCCCTCCACTGTCCTCAGTCCCTCCACTGTCCTCAGTCCCTCCACTCCCCCCAGTCCCTCCACTGTCCTCAGTCCCTCCACTCCCCTCAGTCCCTCCACTCCCCTCAGTCCCTCCACTCCCCTCAGTCCCTCCACTCCCCTCAGTCCCTACACTCCCCCCAGTCCCTCCACTGTCCTCAGTCCCTCAACTGTCCTCAGTCCCTACACTCCCCCCAGTCCCTACACTCCCCCCAGTCCCTCCACTGTCCTCAGTCCCTCCACTCCCCTCAGTCCCTACACTCCCCCCAGTCCCTCCACTGTCCTCAGTCCCTCCACTGTCCTCAGTCCCTCCACTCCCCTCAGTCCCTCCACTCCCCCCAGTCCCTCCACTGTCCTCAGTCCCTCCACTCCCCTCGGTCCCTCCACTGTCCTCAGTCCCTCCACTGTCCTCAGTCCCTCCACTCCCCTCAGTCCCTCCCCTCCCCCCAGTCCCTCTACTGTCCTCAGTCCCTCCACTGTCCTCAGTCCCTCCACTCCCCCCAGTCCCTCCACTGTCCTCAGTCCCTCCACTGTCCTCAGTCCCTCCACTCCCCTCAGTCCCTCCACTCCCCCCAGTCCCTCCACTGTCCTCAGTCCCTCCACTGTCCTCAGTCCCTCCACTCCCCCCAGTCCCTCCACTCTCCTCAGTCCCTCCACTCCCCCCAGTCCCTCCACTCCCCCCAGTCCCTCCACTGTCCTCAGTCCCTCCACTGTCCTCAGTCCCTCCACTCCCCCCAGTCCCTCCACTGTCCTCAGTCCCTCCACTCCCCTCAGTCCCTCCACTCCCCTGAGTCCCTCCACTGTCCTCAGTCCCTCCACTGTCCTCAGTCCCTCCACTGCCCCCAGTCCCTCCACTCCCCTCAGTCCCTCCACTGTCCTCAGTCCCTCCACTCCCCTCAGTCCCTCCACTCTCCTCAGTCCCTCCACTCCCCCCAGTCCCTCCACTGTCCTCAGTCCCTCCACTCCCCACAGTCCCTCCACTGTCCTCAGTCCCTCCACTGTCCTCAGTCCCTCCAATGTCCTCAGTCCCTCCACTCCCCTCAGTCCCTCCACTGTCCTCAGTCCCTCCACTCCCCTCAGTCCCTCCACTCCCCTCAGTCCCTCCACTGTCCTCAGTCCCTCCACTCCCCTCAGTCCCTCCACTGTCCTCAGTCCCTCCACTCCCCCCAGTCCCTCCACTGTCCTCAGTCCCTCCACTCCCCTCAGTCCCTCCACTCCCCTCAGTCCCTCCACTGTCCTCAGTCCCTCCACTCCCCTCAGTCCCTCCACTCCCCTGAGTCCCTCCACTGTCCTCAGTCCCTCCACTCCCCTCAGTCCCTCCACTGTCCTCAGTCCCTCCACTCCCCCCAGTCCCTCCACTGTCCTCAGTCCCTCCACTGTCCTCAGTCCCTCCACTCCCCTCAGTCCCTCCACTGTCCTCAGTCCCTCCACTCCCCTCAGTCCCTCCACTCCCCTGAGTCCCTCCACTGTCCTCAGTCCCTCCACTCCCCCCAGTCCCTCCACTGTCCTCAGTCACTCCACTCCCCTCAGTCCCTCCACTCCCCCCAGTCCCTCCACTGTCCTCAGTCCCTCCACTGCCCTCAGTCCCTCCACTCCCCCCAGTCCCTCCACTGTCCTCAGTCCCTCTACTCCCCCCAGTCCCTCCACTCCCCTCAGTCCCTCCACTGTCCTCAGTCCCTCCACTGTCCTCAGTCCCTCCACTCCCCCCAGTCCCTCCACTGTCCTCAGTCCCTCCACTCCCCTCAGTCCCTCCACTGTCCTCAGTCCCTCCACTCCCCTCAGTCCCTCCACTGTCCCCAGTCCCTCCACTCCCCTGAGTCCCTCCACTGTCCTCAGTCCCTCCACTCCCCTCAGTCCCTCCACTGTCCTCAGTCCCTCCACTGTCCCCAGTCCCTCCACTCCCCTCAGTCCCTCCACTCCCCTCAGTCCCTCCACTGTCCTCAGTCCCTCCACTCCCCTCAGTCCCTCCACTCCCCTCAGTCCCTCCACTGTCCTCAGTCCCTCCACTCCCCTCAGTCCCTCCACTGTCCTCAGTCCCTCTACTCCCCTCAGTCCCTCCACTGTCCTCAGTCCCTCCACTGTCCTCAGTCCCTCCACTGTCCTCAGTCCCTCCACTCCCCTCAGTCCCTCCACTGTCCTCAGTCCCTCCACTCCCCTCAGTCCCTCCACTGTCCTCAGTCCCTCCACTCCCCTGAGTCCCTCCACTGTCCTCAGTCCCTCCACTGTCCTCAGTCCCTCCACTGTCCTCAGTCCCTCCACTCCCCTCAGTCCCTCCACTGTCCTCAGTCCCTCCACTCCCCTCAGTCCCTCCACTGTCCTCAGTCCCTCCACTCCCCTCAGTCCCTCCACTGTCCTCAGTCCCTCCACTGTCCTCAGTCCCTCCACTCCCCTCAGTCCCTCCACTCCCCTCAGTCCCTCCACTGTCCTCAGTCCCTCCACTCCCCTCAGTCCCTCCACTCCCCTCAGTCCCTCCACTGTCCTCAGTCCCTCCACTGTCCTCAGTCCCTCCACTCCCCTCAGTCCCTCCACTGTCCTCAGTCCCTCCACTCCCCTCAGTCCCTCCACTCCCCTCAGTCCCTCCACTGTCCTCAGTCCCTCTACTCCCCTCAGTCCCTCCACTGTCCTCAGTCCCTCCACTCCCCTCAGTCCCTCCACTCCCCTCAGTCCCTCCACTCCCCTCAGTCCCTCCACTCCCCTCAGTCCCTCCACTGTCCCCAGTCCCTCCACTCCCCTCAGTCCCTCCACTCCCCTCAGTCCCTCCACTCCCCTCAGTCCCTCCACTCCCCTCAGTCCCTCCACTCCCCTCAGTCCCTCCACTGTCCCCAGTCCCTCCACTCCCCTCAGTCCCTCCACTCCCCTCAGTCCCTCCACTCCCCTCAGTCCCTCCACTGTTCTCAGTCCCTCCACTCCCCTCAGTCCCTCCACTGTCCCCAGTCCCTCCACTGTCCTCAGTCCCTCCACTGTCCTCAGTCCCTCCACTGTCCCCAGCCCCTCCACTGTCCTCAGTCCCTCCACTGTCCCCAGCCCCTCCAGTGTCCTTAGCATCTCCACTGTCCCCAGGTCCCCCACTGCCCCCAGCCCCTCCACTGTCCTTAGCATCTCCAGTGCCCGCAGCCCCTCCACTGCTCCCTGTCTGGCTGAACATAACAAGTGACTTCATCTTGTGTCCTGAGAGACGCGCAGTCACTTCAGCAGTCGTGAGTTTCCAGTTAGGATGGTGAAGGCGAGGCAGTGCCACAGGTCGCTGTGTGCTTCGCCTCTGCCAGCCAGGACCCTCAGCAGGACATCGACATCCTTTCTCATGTCATGTGGAGCCGGCTTGCACTGTCTTGGTTTCCAAAAGTTAAGGAACAGGATGTAAGTGGTAGAGATCATACTGACCGATTTCTCCTGCCTCTACTTGAACATAGTCTGGGTGTTTTCCTTCCAATGGCGTCCCGTCTTCCGGCCACTCTTCGCAGGCCGGCCGTGGGGGCTGAGGGCGAGCTTGCCCCAGTTCCCATCAATAAGGCGCCGAGGTTTCCCATGCTGCCCGCTCTTCCTCCCAGGCCTCCCTGGGTTTCCACTTAGAACAGCCCCAGGTTCCAGATACAGTGCCTGACTCTGCACACCCAGGAAGAGCTTCTCCACTCACCTCTCTTCCTGACCCCAGTTGACCCAGTGAGCTAGTGACCACGCTGTGGGTGTTACGCACGTCCAGCTCCTGCGTCCCTGCTGAGTGGGGAAGCCTGTGCCACCTGAACTTTAAATCAGTGGGTAGGGACTAAAGAGCCCACGGATGTGGCTTCATGACATCAAGATATTTTTCTCTCCTCTCCTCCCTTATGGGTCTACTCAAGGAAGTGGCTTTTCTTTTTTGCTATTGCAGCCTTCTCTGGGCCAACGGTGCTACTGGGTTCTCTTCAGTTCCCTGGGAAGTGTCCTGAGACTTTAAAACAAGGTAGAGGCGCAGGACATAGAGGGAAACCCGCCCAGCTGGTCCTCCTCCGTTGCCCCTGGAGGCTCGCACAGGGCTGTCGGGCATCCCCCCTGCCTTCTCCTCCTCCATCAGAGAACCTGGGTTCCTGACATCTTGGCTGCACACCTCCTGTAGCAACAGTAGTGCAGCCCAGGCACTTACAAACACCCACGTTCCCTCCCCCCAGTCCTGGGGAGGGGGACTGTGAGGACGTGGTGTGCAAGGGCCTGCTCCTGGCTCCAGAGACAGTCATCTTCCGCATCCTTGCATGACAGAGGGACAAGGACAATCGCTTGGGTCCCTTTCACAAGGGTACTTGTCCTTCCATAAGGCCTCACAACCTGTCCACCTCCCAAAGCCCCTCGTCCTGATACCGTCACACTGTGGGGGTTAGGACTTTAAACCTGAGGTTGGGGATCACAATGTGCAGCCCACAGCACTGTCTGCACCCTCCACAAACAGGCCTTGCCTTTCACCCTAAGGCCACGTCACCACCATCACTTCGTTTTTCCAGCCGCAAGAAAATTGGTGTTAACCTCATTATTATCTTTCAGTAACAAGGCACAACTGAGGCACAAACATTTAATAGAGATTAAAAAAACACCCTCAGTAATCACAAGCATAACATATTAATGCAACATTTAAAAAATAAAAATAAATGCAAAAGAGTTTCCAAAAAGGCAGGCTGGCGTTCGTCTGTGACGGATCAGGTCGGGGCTCCTGGGCCCGTAAGGCCAACGGGCTCCTGAGGAGTGACGATGGTGGCAGTTGGCAACACAGGGCTTTCTGCAGGGTGGTTCTTTTAAATTACAGAGCTATCCTTCACCTTTTCCACTCAGCTAAAACCAAGGGACACTATTCTGTATATCCGGGCTGCAGCGCCCACAGGACCTGTGTAGCAGGGCTCCATCCCTCAGAAAGGAGGTTGTAGATTAACATCAGAACAGGCCGTGGGCTGGGGTGCCGCTCATGGTCCAGTGCGTGCTTAGCATGGGCCAGGCCCTGCGTTCCAGGCCCCGTGTTAGTGCCACACATGGACATGCCTGCATTCTGGCCCTGCTGTGGACAGTTAAAACCTGTCCAATGGTCACCTCCACCTGAAAATAAATGACCCATCACCCCCAAGATGAAGCCTGCCCCTCCTATAGTAGTAAATATAAATTGCATGAGGCTTTTAAATAAATTTTTAAAGTAATTGTGGCAGAAACCACTAACATGAAACCTACCACCTCACCCGTTCACGAGGGTACAGTCAGCAGCGTTAACCACGTGCACGTCACGGTCAGCCAATCCCCACCACTCTCTTCATCTGGTCAAACTAAAATTCTATTTTTTTTAAATTTTATTTTTTTGGGGTGCTGGGGATCTAACCCAGGGCCTTGTGCATGTGAGGCAAGCACTCTACCAACTGAGCTCTAGCCCCAGCCCTGGCCAAAATGAAATTCTAAACCCAGGGAACAAGGCCTCCCAACTGCCTTCTCTTTCCAGGCCTGTCAGGTCCATTCTGCTCCCTGGCTCTATGGATTGGATGCTACAGGGGCCCCGAGGTAGCAGATGAACAGGGTGTGCCTTTTGAGCCTGGCTTGTTCACTTAGCACAGTACCCTCACAACTTACACAGGTGGCTCTGCATATCCGAGTTCCTTCCTTCGGAGGGTTGGATAATACTCCTTCACATGTATAGTCCTTGTTTTGTTTTTCCTATTTCTTGGTGGAAGGATACATGGGTTGGTTCTCCCTTCTGGCTGTTGTGAATGATGCTCTCAGAACAGATATGTAAGTACCTCTTCCTTGGCAGCTTTTTAAGATCATGAGAACACTTTCTGGCCAAATGCACTCCACCAACCATCACTGTGGATTCGATTGCTGTGCCCTAACCGCTCTTTGTGATTAGAAGGGAAATTATCTGCAAGCCTACAGCTCTCAGGTGGCAAAAGCAATTCCTAGATGGAGGTTCAGACATTATCACATCTCAAACACTCCTGTGGAAAAGAGCCAGGGACGGTTACCGTTCAAATCTCCTGCCTCGTCCCACCAGGGCTATAGCTTCCTGCACAGTATTTCATTTAATGTTTATATAAAATTGTTGATATTGACATTACAATTCTGTTGTAAGGGTCAAAGAAACTGAGTCTCAGAGAAGTGGAGGGACTTACTCAGTTCACTGCACAGTTAGGACCTGACGTAAGTTCTAGCACATGAAAATGTGCAGAAAGCAATTCCTGAATTCATAGTTGCATTTACCAGCTTTCAAGAAGGGCAGTATCTAAATGACTTTTTTTTTTTAGTAGAAGGAGATGTTACAGCATCCTCAACAACTCAATTCAGGGACTGGCAAGTGACACGTACTGGGAAAATCATCTTCACATGTATTAGTTTAGTAAGACAACTTGATCATCAAATTACTCAAAACTACAGGGTGGACGTGTGCAGATTAAGGGACCATGTGTGACTTCTGCACTGGTGAAGAAGTTTACTTCAGTGCTATTCTGGCTGTCCCTAACTGGTGGCCAGGGAGTGTGTGTGCCTGCGTGCGTGCGTGTGTGTGTGTGTGTGTGTGTGAGCTGTCCAACAGAATGTTGGGCAGTGATGGAAATGCTCTGATCATCCAGTGAAGTAGCCACCAGCCACAGGTGGCACCCACGCATTAGGGTGGCTAGGGCAACAGGGGCATGAGCGATGGCTTGTCCATTTGTTTGATGCTGGGGTTGAACCCAGGGCCTTGTGCACTGGGCTGCATCCCAAGCACTTTAAAAAACTGCTTATACTGAGACAGGGTCTCACTGGGTTGCCCGGGCTGGTCTTGACCTCCTGTCCTCTTGCTTCAGCTTCCCGAGTCAGTGGTATTACAGGCCATGTCATCATGCCGGGTGTGAGTGTTTAATTTACACAGCCACATGGCCATCATTTTGGACAGTGTGGGCCTATGGAACAGAAGCAACATTGTTGTATTTCAATATCCTCCTTCATTTTCTTGGATATTGTCGAAGATGAACCTTTTTTTTTAACCCCCAAATCTGGGTTAGGGTAGATAGAATTACAGTAAAACTCCAGCACAGACATGTGAATGAATGTTGAATGAGGACAAACCCTTCCAAAGAAGAGATGGTCAACAAGGAAAAGGCATCCGGTCCAATGAATCGGGCAAGTTGTTTTAGGAAGTTTTCCTGCTAATCTGTCTAGTGAGCAGGCAGAAGGCAACCTGAAGGTCATTTGCTGCTGAAGCCTCCTGGCAGTTGAAAGTGGTCCATCTCTGGTGACTTTGTGTTTTCTTCCTAAACATTAGTGCCCCTCACTTCCCGGTCTGCTTTGCTTTTCTGTTTTTTGTTTGTTTGTTTGTTTTTTAATCCACTGCAACTCAGGACTGCCACCCAGTGGCCTAGTAGTGTAAGGCTGTAGCCACGCCGGGTTTTCCTCAGTGCCCATCAAGAACATTTGCTTCCCTGTAAAGTGCAGAGCGAGGGAAGACCGCATCTTCTCAGGAACCCGGAGGGCAGTGTGAAAATAGGAAAGGTTTGTTTGACACACTTCTGTGAGAGCAAAGTGAACTTAATTCAGAAATTTATACTAAACTGGGAATGGAAGCAGACGAGGATTTGAAGGAAAAGACCTCTCCAATTGAGAAGAGGGAGGCAAAATGTTCCCTCAACACCGTTGGAGGTGCGCACTGTGAGGGCAGGGAGAACGCGCTGACCCCCAGGGAAGGGACGGAGCGCACTGAGCCTGGCTCTGCCTGCCTCGGGGACATCCAAGGACCTCTGGGGTTCCCCGGACCCAGGGGCAGATGGAGTGGTGGTTGGAGAGCAGACTGGGAAGGAGGAGGGGAGGAGTGCTGAAACCAGAAGGAGAGGCTAGACAGTGCAGGACACATCCTGTCTGCCTTCCACGTTTAAGTCCAGGCTGCTGTGCCCAGTCAAAGGGAAGGATTTGAACACTGACTTTGCACAGCATGAATCTGGGTGGCTGTCACCGACTGAGCCCTGTGCAGGGGGAGAGGAAGATGGAGAGATTTCTTTCTTCTTTCCGGTTATTGCTTTCAGCCCTGCTCTGCCAAATGTTCCTTTTCTGACTTTTCATGAGATCTTGAGCAGATTTAATGACTTTGGGGTCAGTTTTTGGCTGTTTTGTTTAAAAACTCATCATTTCAATTCAAATGTCTTGTGTTACCCTATCTCACCCCTGCCCTAAGTACTAGATCACAAGAGAAGTTTTAACTTTGAAGAAATCCACACATGTTCAGGGTGAAGTCATAGATTAAAAGAGCTGTAGCCTGATCAGTGACTGGTCCATTTGATGGATTAGTAATTTGAACAGACGAGGTCTTTTGAAAGGTGGTAACTGTAGGCAGGTGGGGCATGCCTGGAGGAAGTAGGTACGGGGTGCTGCACCTTTGGGGTTTTTACTTTGTCCCTGGCACCTTCTCTCTTAGCCACCATGAACTGAGAAACTTTCTGCCACCACACCCTTCTGTCATGATGCCCTGCCTCCCCTCCAGCCCAGAGTAATGGACTCGGCCAACCACGGACTTTAAAAAACTGCACTGACACTCAACTCAAAACAGACTCTTCCTCCTGTAAGTTCATGTCAGGTATTTTCGTCTCAATGATGAAAAGCTAATACAGCTATATTATCTGACCATTTTGTAGGAATCACTCAAGAATGATATAGAGATTTTTAAAAATCTAAATGTTTGGAAGCTTAAAAAATAATTCCCAAATACTCATGAATTAAGAAAGAACTACAGAATGACAAAATATTTACAGCTGTATAGTAC